GGGGGAAACTCCATACTGTTTTCCATAGTGGCTGCACCAGTCTGCATTCCCATCAGCAGTGTACTAGGGCTCCCTTTTCTCCACACCCTCGCCAGCAGGAGTTGTTTGTTGATTTGTTGATGGGAGCCATTCTTACAGGTGTGAAGTGATACCTCATTGTGGTTTTAATTTGCATCTCTCTGATGATTAGTGATGTTGAGCATTTTCTCATGTGTCTCTTGGCCATCTGTATGTCATCTTTGGAGAAATGTCTTTCCAGNAATGTCTATTCAGGTTCTTTCCCCATTTTTTAATTGGATTGTTTCTCTTCCTCTTGCTGAGTAGTATGAGTTCTTTGTACAGTTTGGAAATTAGCCCCTTATCAGATACATCCTTGACAAATATGTTTTCCCAGACCGTGGGGTTCCTTTGTATTTTGAGGCTGTTTTCTTTTGTTGTGCAGAAGCTTTTTAGTTGGATGGAGTCCCATATGTTTATTTTTTCTTTTGTTTCTCTTGCCCTAGGAGATGTATCAGTGAAAATTCCATTATTTGAGATGTCTGTAACTATACTGCCTGTTTTCTTCCAGGATTTTTATAGTTTTGTCACTTACATTTAAGTCTTTTATCCATTTTGAGTTTATTTTTGTGTATGGTGTTGGTGGTCGTTTCATTTTTTTGCACATACCTGTCCAATTTTCCCAGCACCACTTATTGAACAGACTGTCTTTACACCATTGTATGCCTTTGCCTCTCTTCTCAAATATTAATTCACCATAATAGCATGCGCCGATTTCTGGGTTCTCTGTTCTGTTCCATTGATCTATATGTATGTCTGTTGTTGTACCAATACCATGCTGTTTTGATTAAAATGGCTTTGTAGTATAGATTGATATCTGGTATAGTGATACCTCCAACTCAGTTCTTCTTGCTCAAAATTGCTGTGGCTATTGAGCATCTTTTTTAGTTCCATAAAAACATTTGGAATATTTGTTCTAATTATGTGAAATATGCTGTTGGTATTTTAATAGCAATTGCATTGAACCTATAGATTGCTTTGGGTAATATGGACATTTTAATGATGTTAATTCTTCCAACCCATGAACATAGTATATTCTTTCACTCGTTTGTGTCTTTCTCTATTTCTTTTTTCAGTTTCCTGTAGTTTTTCAAGTACAGGTATTCATATCCTTGATTAAATTTATTCTTTGGTGTCTTATATTTTTAAGTTGCAATGGTAAATGGTACTGTTTTTTTAGTTTCTCTTTCAGAGAGTTCATTTTTGGTGAATAAGAATGCCATCAATTTCCAGATGTTAATTTTGTATCCACCTATCTTGCGGAATTGATTTATCAAATCTAGTAGTACTTTGACTGAGTCTTTAGGGTTTTCTATGTACAATATCATGTCATCTGTGAATAATAAGAGTTTTATTTCCTCCTTTCCAATTTGGATACCTTTTATGTTTTTTCCTGTCTGATGGCTCTGGTAAGGACTTCCAATACTATGTTGAATAAAAGTGGTGAAAATGATCATCCCTGTCTTGTTCCTGTTTTTAAGGGAAATGGTTTCAGTTTTTGGCCATTGAGTATGATGTTGGCTGTAGACTGGTCATATATGGCCTTTATTATGTTGAAGCATGATACCTCTATTCCTACTTTGCTGTTTTTATCAGAAATGGGTGCTGGATTTTGTTGAATGCTCTTTTTGCATCTATTGATATGATCATATGATTTTTGTCCTTCATTTTGTTTATGTTATGTATCACATTTATTGATTTGCAGATGTTACACCAGTCTTGCATCCCTGGAACAAATCCCACCTGGTCATGGTGTATGATCTTTTTAATGTACTGCTGGATCTGGTTTGCTAGTATTTTAATGAGGATTTTAGCATCTGTGTTCATCAGGGATATTGGCCTGTAATTTTCTTTCTTTGTAGTGTCTTTATCTGGTTTTGGGATTAGGATGATGCAGGCCTCATAAAACGAGTTTGGGAGTTTTCCCTCCTCTTATAGTTTGAGTATAACAGCTGTTCATTCTTCTTTGAATGTTTGGTAAAAGTCACCTGTAAATCCATCTGGTCCAGGACTTTTGTTTGTTGGGAATTTTTTGATTACTGCTTCAATTTCATTAGTTGTTATCGGCCTATTCAGGTTTTCTGACTCTTCCCGATTCAGCTTTGGAAGATTTTATGCTTCTAGGGATTTGTCCATTTCACCCATGTTTGGTATATAGTTTGTTGGCGTATAGTTGCTCGTATTCTTTTCTTACAATCCTTTGTATTTCTGTTGGGTTGGTTGTTATATTGCCTCTTTCATTTCTGATTTTATTTATTTCAGTCCTCTCTCTGTTTCTTAGTGAGTCTGGCTAAACGTGCATCAATCTTATTAATCTTTTCAAAGAACTCTTCAAAGAATCTTCGAAGGAGGGAAATAAAGATCAGAGCATAGTCTCTATGTCATTAATTTCTGCTCTGATCTTTATTATTTCCCTCCTTCTACTTCCTCGGGGCTTTTCTTGCTGTTCTTGTTGTAGTTCTTTTAGTTGTTGTGTTAGATGGTTCATTAGAGCTTTTTCTTGTTTCTTGAGATAGGCCTCTACTGCTATGAACTTTCCTCTCAGGACTGCTTTCGCTGTGTCTGATAGATTTTGGGTTGTTTTCTGTTCATTTTTGTTTTTTCCCAAAAAGTGTTTGATTTCTTCCTTGATCTCATTGGTAACCCAGTCATTGTTTAATAACATGCTATTTAGCCTCCATGTGCTTGAGTATTTTTAAGTTTTTTTATAGTGGTTGATTTCTAGTTTCATGGCATTTTGATCTGAGAAGATGCTTGATATGATTTCAATCCTCTTGAATTTGTAGAGACTTGTCTTGTGCCCTAACATATGGTCTATTTTTGAGAATGTTCCATGTGCACTTGAGAAGAATGTGTATCCTGTTGCTTTGGGATGATATGTTCTGTAAATGTCAATTAAATCCATTAGATCTAGTGTGTCATATAAGGTCTGTGTTTCCCTCTTGACTTTTTGTCTTGATGACCTGTCCAGTGCAGACAGTGGGGTGTTAAAATCCCCCACTATGATTGTGTTGCTGTCAATCTCCCCCTTAAAATCCACCCAGAAATTTTTTATATATTTAGGGGCTCCTATATTGGGCGCATATATATTTATAAGGGTTATGTCCTCCTGTTGGATTGATCCCTTTAGTACAATGTAGTGACCATCTTTGTCTCTTGTTATGGTCTTTACTTTGAAGTATGTTTTGTCAGAAATAAGTATTGCTACTCTAGCTTTTTTTTCCTTCCCATTTGCATGGACTATTTTATTCTATCCCTTCATATTTAGCCTGTGTGAATCTTTTGTTCTCAGGTGGGTCTCTTGTAGACAGCATANGTGCAGACAGTGGGGTGTTAAAATCCCCCACTATGATTGTGTTGCTGTCAATCTCCCCCTTAAAATCCACCCAGAAATTTTTTATATATTTAGGGGCTCCTATATTGGGCGCATATATATTTATAAGGGTTATGTCCTCCTGTTGGATTGATCCCTTTAGTACAATGTAGTGACCATCTTTGTCTCTTGTTATGGTCTTTACTTTGAAGTATGTTTTGTCAGAAATAAGTATTGCTACTCTAGCTTTTTTTTCCTTCCCATTTGCATGGACTATTTTATTCTATCCCTTCATATTTAGCCTGTGTGAATCTTTTGTTCTCAGGTGGGTCTCTTGTAGACAGCATATATTTGGGTCCTCTTTTCTTATTCATTCAGCTACCCTATGTCTTTTGATTGGACCACTTATTCTGTTTACATTTAAGGTTACTATTGATATATACTCATTTAATGCCACTTTCCCCCTTTATGTATCTTTCTCTCACTACTTCTTCTTTTTCTTAGAGCAGTACTTTTAGCATTTCATGCACTGCTAGTTTGGTGGTGCTGAACTTCTTTA